GAGGGGAGCAGCGGAGGAGGAGGCGATGAGCGGTTGCTGAGGGCGGTGTCCCGGGAGCAGCAGCGGGGATGAGGCTGCGGGGCACCGGAGGCCGGGCAGGGGCAGGAGGGTGCGGAGCCTGGGGAGCGGGAGGGCGTCCCGGCGGCGCTCGGCGGGTCCCGGAGGGGGATTTCCCCGTCGCCGTCCCTGAGGCGAGCTCTGCTCCCACCGGGGCCTCAGCAGCGCTTCCAGCGCCGGTCCCGGCAGCGGGGAACCGGTTCCTCTGCGGATACAGAGCGCTGGGTGGTATCCTCGAGAAAGGCAGGAGGGTGTGTGCAGTGTCCGTTATGGATGGGATTTTCTTCTCGTGTGTTCACCATGAACTTGTGACGGGTGTGTCTGTAACACACGCTGTGTTTAACTTCTTCCATCTGAAAGCTCGCTGGGTACCTGCGTTCTGCTGCCGTCAGCAAACGCACCGTGAGCGTCAGACAGCTCCCAAACATGAAGGCATGAGAACGGCAAAGAACATTTCTGTAGTTCTTTCAGGACTTCTTGAGCTGGGGAAGTGGGTTAAGTCTCCTGCTGTTTAATTCTATCCCGACAGGAAGCGGGCAGCAGTCAGTGACGGGAGTTGAAGCTTCGGATGATGCCAACAGCTACTGGCGGATCCGAGGGAAGAGCGATGGCAGCTGCCAGCGGGGAGCACCGGTGAAGTGTGGGCAGGCCATACGGCTCACCCACGTTAACACGGGCAAGAACCTGCACACTCATCACTTCCCATCACCACTCTCCAATAACCAAGTGAGTTCTGTAAAATCTTAGGCTTTTGTATAAGTAATGGATGCTCTTGAGAATATTCTCTCCAGTTTTTCATGGTTTTGAAGAATCAGGCTTGGGTACCAGCTGCCAGAAACAGTATGTCTGTGCATTTCTAGAGTTCAAGTATATGCTTTTCTACATCTTGAAATAATGTATTTAAGTTCTTGGCAGTGGCAAAATGTAATGTGTACTAGTATCGATATTTCACAGTAGTTTTAACAAATCTGCATATATTTTTATCCCACACCATTGCTACTGGGAAAGATTGTTCGGAAATGTTTAGCACTTCCAAGACATCGGGGACTGGGCACCTCCCTCAACACTGTGGAGATGCTCTAGAGTGAGGCAGCTAGTCACCAGGCATTCCTGTATCCAAGTTCTTGGTGATCCAGTCTACTAGCCTCAGTCATCTTCTCATTATCCCTGTTTTAGTTCACTGTTCTTATTTATCTGCCCTCCTTCCACAGGAAAAATGAATCTAGTCTCACTATCGTATTTATTTATTATTTTGTACATATCTAGCAGAGTGTAATTTCTAACTATAATTAGATCCCAGTCTTGTCCTTGGACAAAAGCTTCTCCAAGATTGAAGCGCACTCTTAAAATAAATAATGCAAATTTGTTGGAAGTTTGTCATTAGAAGTCATTTTAGTCTTCCTTCAGGCTGTGTAGATAGGTCATTACATTCAGACTTGGAAGACCTGACTGTGAAAAAGGTTTGTCTTTTACCATCAGTAAAGTCAGATGCAGTTTTGTGTAGGAAATCTACATCATGTGGTTATTAAAACAAAAGAAGTGATGGAAAAATAGCATTTCAGAGAATTATTTAAAGAACAGATTGACTCTAAAACCTCCCACCAGTTCTCATTTGTCAGTTTAGACAATTCTTACAACATTTTTCTTAATGTAAAAATGTTCAGCAGCTGTCACTGTGTGGTTTTGGGTTTGCTCTGTGCCCACACAGTATGTCAGTGAGAGGGAAGTTTGCGTGATTTCCCAGAGTTTGCGTGACAGTCCCATGAGTGGGACTTAGGGCATTATTGAAATATGATGTAGCTATGAACGCACTTTTTAATTTCATATTCTCAACAGAAGTTGGATTTTCAGTTAGCATGTTGTCTTTCATGCTTTTTGGACTACTTAAACTTGAATTAACATGACCCAAAAATTTTAGGTTGCTAGGTACAAACTATTGCTGTTCTATTTTCAAGTTGTTCATCGCTTCTGGTTCTCAGATTTTTAAGAATTAAAGGTTGTATTGAGTCCTAAGCAGCTGGTGCTCAGCCTGTATGATTTCTGCAAATACTTGGAATTTCTTTTTGGTGTATGTTGAAATCTAATCTCTAACTTTTGTTTTAGCAGGAATTCATTTGCTTTAATGGTCTTCCTTTTTTTTTAAAGAGCTATTCAGCTACCTATGTGAAGATAGAGTGTAACCCAGAATAGTGCTTGGCCCAATTGTAAGCTTGGTATAATTAAGTACAAAAGGAATATGATCACTTCATAAGCTGAATTGTTGGGACATTGTGATAAAAACATATGCTGAAAATCGTGTTGCAATGGTAACTCTGAAGATGGCGGTACTACGAAACTAAACGTCTGCAGTTGCAAACTTTTTTTGAGTGGGGAAGATTTTCATTAGTATTGTTTGGTTTGCATTTTTTCTCAGAAGGGTTGTTTGATCTCTGTGCTCAAGTCCTGTTTCATTTCACTTGGAATGTATTTGGGGCTTGTTGGCACTTTTCACTGAGGTCACACGTCGGAGTTTGATCGCACTTTGTGTTTGAGTTGTAGTGATAGAAGTTACTGCTGCTGGGTTTGGGAACTGGTTCAAGGTGATGCAGCAACCCTTTTTCTTTCCTCTCCGTCCTTGCCTTTGAACTGTGGTGACTGTGGCTGCTGTTTTACTGTGTGTCCTGGAGGTGTCTGCGTACATTTTCACTTGAGGAAGTTTGTGTCTCTAACAGGAAGTAAGTGCCTTTGGTGATGATGGCGAAGGAGATGACCTGGATATCTGGATTGTGCAATGCAGTGGGACTTACTGGGAGCGGGAGGACGCCGTGCGCTTCAAGCACGTGGGAACGGAGGTGTTCCTTTCGATAACGGGGGAGCAGTATGGGCACCCCATTAGGGGCCAGCGGGAAGTCCATGGCATGCCTGCTGCTAACCATCACAACTATTGGAAAGCAATGGAAGGAGTCTTCATCAAACCCAGCATGGACCCTGTAAAACACGATGAGCTCTGAATTGACAGAGGATCCAAAATGCTTCAGCTTACTCCAGTCTTCAGAGATGCTAATCCTTGGTCTCTTCCAAGTCCCGCCTTGCCTAAGCGACTGACTCTCTGTGTTACTGAAGGGCATTAGTTCATTCTAGAAATGCAGCACTTCTCTGGGGAATGGCAGCTCCCAGGTTCAGCCATTGACATTTATCTGGTGAAATACTTCCTGAATTGTCAAGCTTAACTGACGAAACTAGTTCATGCATCTGTTAGTTTCCATTGTCATTTGTTTGGTTACTTTTTCTGAAATTCAAAGGAAATGGAAAAACTGAATTAACACATTTCTGCAATCCCAAGTACAATAAAAATGTGTATTTTGTCATCTTTTTCCAATTATAATTAAATATTTGGAAACTGATTTCTACTTCTTAGTGAGAGAATGTTATTAATGAGGAGATGGAGTAAGTCTAGAAATGGAAAAGTTGTTCTCAAATATGGTGTCTTTTCAACTATTCAGCCTTCCAGAAAAAGAATGTGGTCATTTGAAAATTGCTTCCAATGTCTTTCATGAGTTTCGTTATGTACTGTATTGGAAGAGTTGAAAATATTGTGTATGTTGGAGTAAGAAGACAGAGTTTTAATTTATTCACTTTCTCCAAGAAGTTCAGGTTTTCTGGTAACGGTGACACTGCTGTTTGTCAAATGGTGAGACTGCTCTGCTCTGTGAACTGGTGCAGGAAGCAACTGTTTGTTTCATTAATAGTAGCATTTTATAAAATTCTATGTGGTGCGAAGGAACGGTTGAATTTGACTGACTTGTACTTGCATGTCACTCTGCAAGGTCAGTATAAGAATCTAGATGAATAAATAGTGGAGCATACAGCCATCTGGGGATTTTGTGCGTGAATCCAGAAAAAGAGGAAAAAGAATCTTTGGGAGTGGTTTGGTCCTGGATTTTTGACCAAATGGTGTGCTCTGGAGAGCTTACAAGAAGCCTTCATTGAATAAGTTATGAATTTCTATGGTCCTCTTTACCTGTAAAAAGGAAAAAAAACTAGTTCTTGAATGTGTTTGTTACGCGGTGTTACTGGAAATACTGATTAAAATTCAAAGTACCATACATTTCCTATTTGTTTTAAACAGAAGAGCTCACAAAATGAGAGTGAAAAGTTAGCAAATGCAGGTGTTCTGGTCTCCATGTGTAAATAGTTTACTGATTATGGTATTAATTAGTCAATCAGTTAAAGAAGCAGGAAGCTGATTTACTGCAGCTCTGCTCCTGTGGTGTGGGAGTGTTGTGTGGAGAAGGTGTGAGAGGCACTGGCAGCTGAGGTCTATAAATGCACCTCCTGGTACCTGCCCTGGTCCCTTGTGTGGCTGCAGCAGCTGGTGGTGGGTTTCAGTTGGGGGTCTGCTGCTGGTGAAGATCCTCCATACCCTCTGGAACGTGGAGCTCCTGTCACAGTTTGCTGTACTTCATTATTTCTCTTTGAAGAGAAAGGTAAGACTGTTTTTCTATGAATCTTGGTTGCATGTGCGTATTTTAAGGATTATGAGCGTTTTGGACAGGGAGTAGATGAGCTTTTGCTGGTTTGTATTAGAAATCTACGTGATGAATGTTCCAGGTTCGTTGATACTCCTGAGTAATTGCTATTGAAATTGTAGCTATAAAGGATAGCTACTTAAAAACAACCCCAACCTTCTGCATAAATAAGCTGATTTTTCCCATATTAAAAAGGTGGTGTTTTCCTGTGAAGTTGGTGTATGAGCAAACACAAAGAGTGGTGGTGTTTGGCAGGAGAAAGAAACAGATCTATCAGAGAGTTGTGTGTCCCCGGGAGCTCAGTGCTTCATGGCTGACCCCGTGGAGCTGGTGTTGGTTGGTGTTGGTTGTTCCTGTGACACGCGGAGTGGGCTGAGGGGCAGAGCAGGGGGCTCATCCCATCCCTGTGCCAGCTGCTGTCCCTGCCTGCTGTCTGGCTCTGGATGGTTCTGTCCCCAGCAAAGGTATTTGTCCATCTTACACTCAAGTGGGATCTCACTGGACCTTCCACTTTCTGTTCTGGATTTGAGCCAAATTGGTTTGGTGAGGCTGGGGAAGAACTGGCTTTTAGTTCTTATTACTTACTTTCTAACATTCTCTCGGTTTTGGAAACGCTTGTACCTTCTGTTCCCAAAGAGCCAGGCTTCCCCACACAGGTGTAGCCATTAATGCCTTATTTGTATTCGTTGTATGCCTTACAATGTATTCAACAGCTTTCCTGTGAACTGATTGTCCTTCACTTTTGATTCTGAGGGAAGTGTAGAAGTCACTTGGCCTTAATATTTCACTTGCACGTGTGTCACAATAGGCATTTATTCCCAGTTCTCATCACTATAAAAGTTGTGCTGTAGGACTTAAATAAGGCCAGTTGAAGAACATCTTACTTTGGAAAGGTCTCACATAGTACTAAAACAACTGCTGGTACTCAGTGTGTGCTAAATGCAGGCTACAAAAGTTTTAAGTTAATGTAGAAAGTGCAAAATCTTACAGCTGTGAAAAATGATTGTGTGCAAGTGCTCATGTGCTTTCATTTCTATAGACCTACTGGGTTTACAAGACTTGTAATCTTCAGAATCTGATTCAGGTGTTTGTATTTACTTTGGCTGATTGCAGTTCGACTTTTCAGTCCTCCCCCTCCAGCTGAGGACTAGAGACTTGGAGAATCCCAGTTTTTATATTGTTGGGTTCTGTTGTTTGTTTTCTGTTTGACTGTTATCTTCTGTCTAAAGATGTTGGGACTCCTGGGTAAAACATGAATTAGTGAGAGACGTAGATATGAGAGTTGGCAACACTGTTTTGCTGCTTTCTTTCTCTTAAGGTGATAAACCAAATTTTGTAATACCTCTTGTCAAAATTCTCTATATGCTTCAAGGTTAATTGAAAATGATCTTGGCTTCTGATCCTAGCAGAAAAGAATTCTTTCACATGGCTGACAGGTGCTTTTCACTACTATTACAAGGCTCTGAAAAGGTGTGCCCATGTTGTTCCTCTTCCCTTAGTAAACTAGAAAGGCTTTGGGAAAAGATCTAAGAGGGATCCTTATTTATAGTTGTTCTCAGTGGTAGTAATTGCTAAAGACAATCTACCTAGACTTAGAAAAATCTGTGAAATATGGCATGTTACACATGTATATATCTAGTACAATGTAAAATGACAGAGTTCCTCAGATATTGTTCATTTTCAAGGCAAGTGTGTGTGTATACAAGCACTTGTACTCTCTATTTCCTGAAGCTTTTTAAAGCTCTGTGTAACTGTTAGGGTGTGAACACTGGCTGCACAGTTTGTCTCCTCGGTCCGTGCGATGAGAACCAGGTTCAGTTCTTCTGAAGTGCTCGAAGGGACGTACCGCTCATTGACTCTCTGCTCTGAATGGCAAGGGTGAAGATAAATGAAATTAAAACATTGATTCATGTTTGGGAGTACTAATTGGGTATATCTATTCTTATTAAGTTAGCATATTTTTTTTTTTAAATCAAAACCTAAAAGAAAGAAGATGGTCTCCTTGGCTGTGCTCTGTGGGGTGGGAAGCACAGGGGATGGTTTGCTTCATCGAGGAGGAACAAAATGTTCAATCTTACCATCCCGGAGTTGCACTGGAAACAGGAGGCGATTCAAACTTACCTCAGGGTGTGCAGCATTTATTATGCATGCAAGTCACAAGCAGTAATAAATTTTAGGACCCTACGGTTATTTTAAATACTTAGAGGAATAAATATTTTATGCTTTCTCCCCTCCTCCCACTGGCACTCTAAGCATCTCAGTGCTCCCATCTTTGTAAATACTTCAGCAGGACCTTGAGTATTTATACCTGATAACTTATTTTTACTCTGTGCAATCTGTTTCTTTAACCAAACATGCCACAATTTCAGGAGAGTAGAGGAATTGATCGATAGGTGCTCAGCCAGTTCCTCTGCAGACAGAACTGAACTTCTTTGGGTGCGTATGAGACAAGGAGGGAGTGTTGTGAGCACCTTGAACGTAGACTTAAGTAGTTCTTTCTCTTTAAATTGCAGCAAATTAAATTGATTATAAAACCCTTTTACTATATTGGGTATTGTCATTCTAAATTAGCACGAAGTTCACAGTGAATCCTCCTAGGACAGCTCTGATAGTGATTGAAGCTGCTGTTTGGTGAGGGGTTCTGGTGTCTTTGGGGAGGCGGTGCCCTGTGTCGGTGGGGTTAGCAGCCCTGTGACATCTCAAGGGTACCAAACCCTCGTGAAACACATCACAAACTAATCGGAGTCTGTGCAAGCTATAAAGCTGCCTGATTAGGTCCTGTATGTTTTTTTTTTAACTATAAAAATAACGTGCAGGTGCTGGCTTTGCGTGTCTGGAGGACTGTTGAGTTTGGGCTCAGATCTAAGGCTCTTGGGTTCATCTTCGTGCTGGTCGCGTATTTATTGCCCTGAGCCTCATTTCCCGAGAGCTGATCAGCGGTGCGTGCTGTGCTCGAAGTGGGGGTATCGGGGGTGAATCTGGTGGGGCTCAAACCACAGCTAAACATAAAACAAACTCGGTACCCGACGCTGTTGTTCTGCTGGTGCCGTCTGGTCCCCGTCCCTGCCCGCCGGGCGCCGCAGCCGCCCCCCCGCCGCTCCCCGGGGTTGCGGTGCCCCCGAGAGCCTCCGGGGGTGCGGGTCACTGCCCGCGCCTGCCCGGGGCCCGGCCCCGCAGGGAGTCTGTGGAGAAAACCCGGGCGGGGAGATGTAAGCGGGGCCGCTCGGAGGAAAAGGGACGGGATCTCCGTGGCGGAGCCCCAGGCGGGACCGGGGGGCGGCGGGCCGGGGCCGGGGTCGGTGGTGCCGCCGGCCAGCGGGGCTGCTCCGCCCGCTCCCGGGGGTCGGACGGCTCCGGCAGCGCGGCTCTGAGCGCCGGCCAATTTACGCTCTTCGGGGGGAGCAAACGGCACCCGCGGTCGGGGGGGGCTGCTGTGAGCCCTCCTGCGGCCGGGTCTCGCCTCAAATGTGCCCCAAATCCTGTACTGCTCCGTTAGGGAAGGGGAGATTAAAACATCAGCGTAGGCTATAAAGCGATGCTTCAGGCGTCCCTGGTTACTGTCTTCTATAGGATCGATGAAGTGCGGCCAAGGCTGAAGCCTGTTTGCTTACAGTAGACGGTTAAGGCAATTACCTGTATCGTAAAATTAAATACCGGTTTCCGCTCGGTGGGGGGGGGAAGACACAAAAGGATGGTTAAAGGGAGCTCTTCTCTCCTCCCGTCACTGCAGCGATCCCCGTGCATTCTGCGAGATCTCGAAAGCAAAAGCTGAAGAGAAGCGATCCGTTCCCAGCCCCTGGGAGCCGTGTCGCCGTCAGCGGCCACACTCACACCCACGCGCCTTGGCCCCGGTGCCACCGTCCCGCTCTCCCGCGGCGTGCCATCCCTCGGGGTGGGGTGGGAGCCGAGCTGCCATCTCCTCCCGAGGCCGCGCCGGTTCCCGAGCCGGTGGGAGGCTGCGCCCGGCGGCTTCTCCCCGCCGTCCCGAGGGGGTCCCCCCCGCGCCCGTCCTCGGCGGAACCGCGGTCCGGCGGGCCCAGCTCCCGGCGCAGCCATCGCCGAGGGCTCCGTTCATTTGCCAGGCGGACGTAGATTTTCCTGTAGATTCTCCCGGCAGTGCAAATTCAGTTTCTCGGCACCAGCCGCCTGCCATATTCCTTCACCTCTAGCGGAAAGATGGTCTCCAATACGAGCCTTTTACGGTCCCGGGTACCAGCCTCTGCTCACGGCGATCCTCGGGTGATGCAGGAGGCTTCCTCCAAACCGGCTCTCCCGCAGCCACACGCTGCCCCTTCCCCTCGTCCCTCTCCTCTCCCCCTCTTCTGCCTGCTCCGCCGGGCAGG